GGTTCGAGGTTTCAGGATCCTTGTCCTTCGCTTCTGACGCCGCGTCCGATCCCCCCTCCAGCAAAAGCATGCGGCTTTACAAAAAGGCAAGTCATTTTGCCGGTCCCGCTCCGACCTCGAAGCGGACGCAGCGCCGTCACCCCGTCGGGCCGAAGTCTGCTCCTCCTACCCACCCCCGCACCCCACGTGCGCTCGCCCGCCCACCGCCCCATCCCCCCCCCTCCCTCTACCTCTCTCTCTCTCTCTCTCCCCTCTCTCTCCCCTTGTCCCTCTCCCCTCCTCCCGCCTCTCCTCTCCTCCCTTCTCCCCACCCCTTCCCGCGCCACAGCTCCCCCTCCTCTCGTGCTCCCTCCTCTTCCACCTCCCCCCTCCCCGTCTGACCCTCCCTCTCCCACTCCTCTCGCCCGCCCTTCTCCTCCTGCCCCCCTCCATCACACTTAGGAACGCTCATCTCTCCGCAGAACGTCCCAGGCGGGCGAGCCGGCCCTTTGAGGGCCCCGCGGAGGCCAGACCGCGACTTGGCACCGCCGTGCGACGCTCGCCCCCTCTACGCGACGCTCCTCCTCCTCCTCCTCCTCCTCCTCCTCCTCCTCCTCTTCCTCCTCCTCCTCCCTCCTCCCTCCTCCTCCTCCTCCTCCTCCTCCTCCTCCTCCTCCTCCTCCTCCTCCTCCTCCTCCTCCTCTCCTCCTCCTCCCTCCTCCTCCTCCTCCTCCTCCTCCTCCTCCTCCGCCTCCCCCTCCCCCTCCCCCTCCCTCCTCCTCCTCCTCCTCGTCCTCCTCCTCCTCCTCCTCCCCCTCCGTTTTTCTCTGCCGGCGTCGTGAGAGATGCCCGTTTCGCCCCTGAGGGGCCTTCGGAAGCTCCTTGAGAGGTCCCAGTGAGCATTCCTGATATCCCCGAGGCACCGAGGAGAGCCCCAGAAGCCCACGGCAGCCCAAGAGGTGCTCAAGACGGCGACGGTGCAAGAGGCCCCCAACAAATTCCCACTAGAGGCTGGAAGGCTCTGGAAGAGCGAAAGCACATTGAAGCTCAATTTGTCTTTCGGCGCGTGTTGTCTATGCGATGATATTGTGCATGCGTGGCGCTTACCGATCTTGTCCGCTTAGGTTCCACCTCAGTGTGTGCCTGGGGGCTATGAAGAAATCAAGTATGAATATCATGATCTGCTTTGTGCTCTTGTCGAGCCCTGGATTTGAATCGGCAGCGCCGCGAATCTCACGTCACCTCCTCGCCTTCCCCCTCCCTCTTCCCCTCCCTCTCCGCCTCCCTCCGCCTCTGCTTTCGCATGCCAACCAGCTTTGACCCTCGGCACGCCCCTCCCGCGGATCGTGCACCACAGGGAGCTCCACCCATGGCCTCAGCGGGTGCGTTCGCATGGCGTCCCCGCGCACACTTTGGCACACCACCACGCGGATCGTGGCCCCAAGAGTGCTCACCCATGGCCCCAGTGGGTTCTTTCGCATGGCGTCCCCGCGCCCACTTCGGCGCACCCCTCACGGATCCTGCCTCCTTGCAAGCTCCACCAACGGCCCATCCCCAGTGAAGGCCTTCGCGTGCGCCCCCGCGCCCGTTTCGGCGCACTCCTCGCGCGGCTCCTGCCTCCCAGGGAGCTCCGCCTGCGGCCCATCCCCAGTGAGGGCGTTCGCCTGCGCCCCCGCGCCTGTGTCGGCGCACTCCTCACGCGGATCCTGCTTCCCAGGGAGCTCCGCCCACGCAGAGGGCGCCCTCGCGCGGGCGCATCCCTCGCGCGGGTCGTGCACCGCAGGGAGCTCCACCCGTGGCCCCAGTGGGTGCGCTCGTCTGGCGCCTCGGAGCCCGTTGCGGCGCACCCCTCACGCGGACCATGCGCCATCGGGAGTTCCACCGACGGCCGGCTCCCACTTGGGCCTGCACGTGCGGTTCCCCACACGCCGTGCCCCCATCACATTTCAGGAGGGGAAAAAACACACAGACACAATTAATCCTCGATTCCCAGGAAAATATGGGAAAATATGGGAAGTGGGGGGGAAGACAAAAACCCAGAAAATATGGGGACTATTTTTATTTGTGTGTATTTATTTGTGTGTCCTAATTTCCCTTTAACATTGAGCTCCACTCATGGGCCCAGTGGATTAGCGGTCAGCGGTTCGGCACACCCCTCACGCGGATTCTGCCCCAGGGGGAGCCCCACCCATGGCCCCGCACCCATGCGGGCCCGCTCCTCACGCGGATCGTGGCGCCACCGGGAGCTCCGCTACCAGTGAGGGCGTTCATGTGTATTTTTGTGCTTGTTTTGGCACAAGCTTCATGCGAGCCGTGCCCCAGAGGGAGCTCCACCCATGGTCCCAGTGGGTGCGTTCGCATGCTGTTCTCGCGCCCATTTGGGCCACTCGTCCCGCAGATTGTGCTCCACAGGGAGCTCCACCTATGATCCGACTGCGATCCGAGTCCATGCGATTCGATTCACTGCGATCCGACTGGTGCTCCACAGGGAGCTCCACAGGGATCCGTTTACGATCCGACTACGATCCGACTGCGATCCGACTGGTGCTCCACAGGGAGCTCCACCAGGGCCGCCTACGATCCGGCTCGATGCGATTCGATTCGCCGGCCAGAGCCGCGAGTCCGATCCGATTCGGTTCGGCAGGGTCCACCAGCATCGGCCGCGGCCTGCCGGAGCCAGGCGCGGCGGTCGGACCTCGACCCCACTGGGGGACGATCTGCTGGCGATCCGATCCGACCCGGTCTCGCGACTCGATGAATTGAAGGGGCCCTGGGACACACAAATAAGTACACACAAATAAAAGGACCATCCATATTTTCCCATATTTTCTGGTTTTTTGCCTTCCCCCCCACTTCCCATATGTTCGCATATTTTCTTGGGAGTGGACGATGAATTGTGTCTGTGTGTTTTTCCCCTCCTGATGAATCCCAATTCTGCCCGCTCCCATATGGGCGCGTTCACCGGACGGGGCCAGGACGAGGATAAACATGTTCCAGGGCGTTCCGGAGCGCTCTCAGAGCGTTCGAGAAGGCTGAGAAGGCCGCGGCGCCCGAGACATCTTCCAGAGCAGCCGGATCTACGAGATTCTCGATTTGTCCTCGCCCGATTTATCCTCGACCTGGCTCCGTCTTAGTTCACGTGCGTCCCCGCGCCCAGCACCCATTGCGCGACGCGGGGAGGATTAGGGAGAGGGCCACATCCTGCGCTACACGCGGCTGCATCGGGTGGGGCCATCCGCCAGGCTAAGCCGCGCTGGGGGATTCTTCATGAAGAAGGAAGAGGAGGAGGAAGAGTAGGAGGATCGAGGAGGAGGATGAGGAGGAGGAGGATCGAGGAGGAGGACCGAGACGGAGGAGGATAATCGAGGAGGAGTAGGAGGAGGAGGAGGAGGAGGAGGAGGGGGATCGAGGGCTCGTCTGGAGGTCGGTCGATGAGGGCCTTCGCCACCACCTACCAAGCCACCCCCACCCAACCAAAAGGACCTAGACCACCCCAAATTTTGGGTTTGGGGGGTGCACGGGTTCAATCGTAGTTCCAGAATGCTCTGGAGTGCCCCACCCCCCCCACAGGAAGTCGGCGAGCCCAGCGGTGACCTGGAGTTGGGTTGGGGTGGCGTGGAGGGTAGTCGCCTCGCCAGGCGAAGTCGCGCTGGGGGGTCCCACGGTGGGTCTGCATAGGGGGCCCCACGCCCCCGAGCCGGCCCTCGGCGCCGCCCGAGATGGGAGGGCCCCTGGGGGAGCCCAAGCTGGCCCGAGAGAGGGTTCCAGGGCACCTTGTCCTTAGAATCAGGAACGAAAGAAGGACGTACACGTACATGAATCCACGCTGGTTTCGAGAGTACGTATCGCCCGAAAGTTCGTATCACGCGGCCGGTCTCGCAGATCGAGGGGCCGTGTTCATGTACACAGCTGGGCGCGTACGTCCTTAGTGGGCTCCCTATAGAATGGAGGATGACGATGAGTACATGACCGGGGGTCGTGTTCACGCTGTTCTTCGATGTTCTGGGGGGCCAAGATGCTCTCATTTCTGATTGTTCCGGCCTGAGCCTCTTCCTGGCCACCAGGGGGCCAGGAAGAACTAGAAACGAGCACAATTAGACACGAGCGCGATTAGAAAGGGAACGACGTGTACTGGAGGATGACGATGAATACATAACCGGGGGTCGCGTTCACGCGGCGGCGCCCGGGATGACGATTCGGAAAAACAGGCCGCGGGTTGGAAAATTGTGTTTTAATCATTCTCCTCCAGTCAGAAAATTGCAGAAATGGCAGAAGACTAAGTTGTAATCGCTCTATTTCATGTTTTATGAATCGTCATCCCGCATTATAAGTGACTCGCCCCGTGTCGCACACCGAGACTTGCTGGTAGGGCGGTCCAGGCGTTTCGCTTGAGACTTCCTCACCACTTGTGACCCTGCTTGGAATTTGCAGCAGCTTCACGGATGGATGGCGGGCCGGTTTCAAAATGAAGTTCTCGCCTCAGCGTTGAGCGATCCGTTTCGGAAGTTTGCAAGAGTTGTACGGATGGAGGGGCCAGTCTTTTGCAACATTTGTTTCTCGTGCGGAGCACATTCGTCCTAAGAAGTCCCAGGGATGGTTTTCTGGCATGGTTTAGGATCGTTCAGGTTGATTCGTGGCGTTGACGTCCCAGGAGTGGTGCTCTGGCACGGTTCAGGATTTCCAAACGGTTGTCTGCAAACGGGGCGTTTACTTCAGTGGAAATTCATCTTTGCAGGGGCTGAACGGGGAGCTTGGAGGGAGGGTGTATTGCAACAGCGTTGGCGAGTCTTGGGTTTACACTGGTCCCCCTCCTCCTCCTCCGTAGCCATTATGGCTCAGGGGAACCAGTGGATACCGCTACCCCGCGGCCAGCTCGCAAAGTTTGGTCACCTTCAAATCCTGGCAGCGAGCTGCCCAGCCGCTGCGAGCCCGCGAACCGTCTCACGTTGGGCGTCGTGGGTAAACGGAGGTGCTTCCCTTGACCGCGGCGCGCATCGTCGTGCCCGAGCTTGTCAAGCGCAATGGCATCGCCCCTGGCGCCAAGTTTGTCCAGCGCCGCAAGAAGAAGGCTCGGGGTGTTGACGGTGATGCTCTCCCCCTTGGTGCTGGCGACATCTCTGGATCTTCCGTACAAGGCGAAGTTCATCATGGTGCTTCTTCTTTTCGTGCTCCTGGTGATGCGGTTCCTCCTGTGCCCGGTTTTATTCACAGGGGTTCTGGCGGACGTGAAGAAGACTGACGTGATGATGGAGACTGGGATGACGACTGCGTCGTCCGCATCGCCGAGAAGCCCATTGCGGACAAGACGGTCTCCTACCGCGACGCGCTCGTGGGCGAGCTCAGTGCGGTCGTCTCCTCCACTTTTGCCGAACAGGTCCAACGGTGACCTGGAGTTGGGTTGGGGTGGTTTGGAGGGTAGTCGCCTCGCCAGGCGAAGTCGCGCTGGGGGGGTCCCACGGTGGGTTCGTTTCCAAGGAGGCCCTGCATAGGGGCCCCACGTCCCCGAACCGGCCCTCGGCGCCGCCCAAGATGGGAGGGCCTTCGGGGGAGCCCAAGCTGGCCCGAGAGAGGGTTCCAGGGCACCTTGTCCTTATAAGTGACTCACCCCTGTCGCACACCGAGACTTGTTGGTAGGGCGGTCCGAGCGTTTCGCTTGAGACTTCCTCACCACTCCTGATCCTGCTTGAAATTTGCGGCAGCTTCACGGATGGATGGCGGGCCAGTTTCAAAAGGAAGTTCTCGCTTCAGCGCTGAGCGATCCGTTTTGGAAGTGTGCAAGAGGTGTACGGATGGAGGGCCAGTCTTTTGCAACATTCGCTTCTCGTGCGGAGCACATTCGTACTAAGAAGTCCCAGGTCTGGTTTAAGGATCGTTCAGGTTGTTTCGTCTGGTGGATGTCCCGGGAGTGGTGCTCTGGCACGGTTCAGGATTTTCAAACGGTTGTATGCAAACGGGGCGCTTACTTCAGTGGAAATGCATTTTTTCAGGGGCCTACGAAGGGGGAGTTTGGAGGGGGGGTGTATTGCAACAGCGTTGGCGAGTCTTGGGTTTACACTGGTCCTCCTCCTCCTTCTCCGAAGCCATCTTGGCTCAGGGGAACCAGTGGATACCGCTAGTCCGCGGCCAGCTCGCAAAGTTTGGTCACCTTCAAATCCTGGCAGCGAGCTGCCCAGCCGCTGCGAGCCCGCGAACCGTCTCACGCTGGGCGTCGTTTGTAAACGGAGGTGTTTCCCGTTCCCGCGGCGCTCATCGTCATGCCCGAGCTTGTCAAGCGCAATGGCAGTGCCCCTGGCGCCAAGTTTGTCCAGCGCCGCAAGAGGAACGCCCAGGGTGTTGACGGTGATGCTCTCCCTCCTGGTGCTGGCGACAGCTCTGGATCTTCTGGGCAAGGCGAAGTTCATCATGGTGCTTCTTCTCCTCGTGCCCCTGGTGATGCGGTTCCTCCTGTGCCCGGTTTTATTCACAGGGGTTCTGGCGGACGTGAAGAAGATTGACGTGATGATGGAGACTGGGATGACGACTGCGTCGTCCGCATCGCCGAGAAGCCCATTGCGGACAAGACGGTCTCCTACCGCGACGCGCTCGTGGGCGAGCTCAGTGCGGTCGTCTGCTCCACTGTTGCCGAGCAGTTCCAGGACTTCAGCGCGAAACTGGCCGCTCATTCTGCTCCTGCCTCTGAGCTAGCTGATGGGCGTCAAAATCAGTCCCAAGATGCGCGCCGGCGTATCCTCCCAGTTTTGCGGTGACAAGCTGGACACCTTCGCAAGGCGCTTCCAGAAACAGATCGATGGACAGACCGTCAAGCTGTGAGCCCTCGACACCAAGGTCTCCGAGCACGACGCCTCCATCAACGCGCCGCGGGGGCAGGTCCACGAGCTCCGTGGCGCGCTCGCTTTGGCGAACACGCAGCCGAAGCAGCGGCTCATCACCGCCGCGGGCTGCGAGCGCAATGTCGACGCTAGCGTCATTCGAGTGGCGTCGCCGAAGCTTGCCCACCCCGGTGCAGTCAAGCAGGTGCTGTCCGACTGGATCGTGTCTGTTGGGGCGCAGGCCGCCTGCTTCGACATCGCGTCTCCCATCCTAGTCAGCAAACACTTTGCGATGCAGTTCACGGGCGCTGCCGCCCTTGGCGCCCGCGGGGCGGCCGAGGTCCTCGGCGCTCAGCGTTGGCCCCGGGGCAGCGGCGTCGCTTCGAGGTGGTCTGTGCTGACGGCTCGGCGCCCCCGAATTACATCGGCGCTGACGAGAACCCTCGCCGAATCAAGATGGGGATCCAGGGCCGCAAGCTGAGGGGCGCCATCAGCGACGCCAGCGGCAGCAAGAGATGGTTCTTCGATCGCGACCGCGGCTCCCTCATGGCTAGGTGGGATCCCGTCCTCCACCTTTCCCCACAGCCTGGCAGCGCCGCGACCGAGCTCTCCTGGGCCGACAACGTTGTTGCCAAGCTGGGCCTCGACAAGGTGGCGCTATTCGCCGCTGCGAATCGCCGGCGAAGGCCATCGTCGATCCCCCAGAGACGGCCGAGTGGAGTCCTTGACCCGTTCGCAGTGCTGCTTCGCGGACCCGCGCTAGGCGCGCCTTCGCCGGCCTTCACCTCGCGGAACACCGGGGCCCTCCTGCGGCACCAAGGGGCGCATGGCAAGGTCAAGCTCAGCTACGCCAAGAGGCTCGACTTCACGAGGGGCACAGCGCGCCATCAGGAGCTGCACCAGGGCCGAGCTCAACTCCAAGGCTCCAGCCAAGGCCTCGCCTGGGCATCGCACATTCGCCAGCGTGGGATCTGCAGTCAAGAGCGGCGTTGCGACTATTCTCCTCGTGGGGTCTTCGCCCGTTGCTCGGCCTTCAGTTCTCGCCCCTGGGCGCGTGCTACGAGTGGCCCTTCGCTTGGGCGAGACGGTTCTGATTCACTGCAACGTGCGCAACCACGACCTCTCCCACAAGCAGCTGCGGCGGAGCTTCGCCGCCTTGGAGTCGGACACTACTGCTGCTCAGCGCGACGCGCTCCACGGGCTCGTTGAGGTGCGCGGCGACGTCAACTTTTGTCCTCTGGCCCTTCTCTTGCTTCGCCAACTTAGTCGGCCTCTTGCGGAAGGCAAGCGGCCGCGCGCCCATGCTTCGCGCTGGCCACGCGCTCATCGCCACTTCGCGGAGATCGCGTCCGAGGAGCCGACTCGCTACGACGGGTGCTCCCGCTCCTTGTCGATTTTTGATCGACTGCGGGTGGTTTGGCGTGGCCGGGTCTTCGCATTGCTCACGTCGGAGCCCACGGTCCACTGACGCGCCCCGCGTCCTTGCCGACAAGCTCATCGTCGACCGCGCGGCGCGCGAGGTGAAACTTAGTCAGCGTCGTCTCAAGCCTCGCGGCGTTCAGGGGGTCCCTCAGCACATCTTCGAGTCCTCGTTCTTCCAGATGCTGCGCATGACGTCTCCTCTCCGCTCGACTACGCGTCGCTGTCGCCGCTGCGGTAAGTGGAGCCTCGCAAGTGGGTGGCTCTAGAGGTTGCGAGGGAGGTGCGCGACTGGGCCTTCGTCGCGGACCCCGAGTCCATCGCCGCGATTCCCCTCGCCTAACAGATGGCTCGCGCTGCGTGGCGCAGCGACGTCGGTTTGGCCAAGGAGCTTCGTCGCTCCCACCGCGCAGCCCACGACTTCCCCATCGTCGCGGAGTGGGTCGTCGAGCTGCAGCGCGCTATTTCTTTCCGACGTTGGCGCGAGTGCGTTCAACGACGTCGCGCCGAGGCGCAGAGAGCCCGAGTGGAAGCGGCTCTTGCTCGGCCGCGCGCCCCGCGCTTCCTGGAGAATCGGCTGCCTGTCTTCGAGCGCAAGTCTGCGATGTGGCCCCCTCTGAACCGTCGCCTTTTTCGGATGCCTCTATAGCGACCGAGGACGCCGTCATGACAGGGAGGCTAATCGAGCATTGGGCCCCTTGTTTTCTCCTCCACACCCATCGACAATGACGTCGCTCAGGCCTGCATCTCGCAGCGCGTGCCCGAGCTCGACTTCGCCGAGGCCCCCCAACCCTCTCGGGCGCCCCTGCGGCAGCTGGCCGCCAACATGCACTTCTCCAAGCCTGGCCTCGGCTCCATCCCGTGCTCTGCCTGGGCTGCCTCGGAGGCGGGCCCCGCGGTGCTTTCGGAAATTCCGATGTGGATCATGCGCGACCAGGCCCTCCTCAACAGCTCAAGCGCACTTTGCAGGCATGGCTCCCCGAGGCGGGTGAGGCCGAGGACCTCTCTCTCGGCTGGATGTTGTCGCGCGGCGGGAGCAGTTCGAGCCCCGGGGCTGCGGGGCGCCGGCATCAGTCTGATCGGCGCGACGATCAACTGACAGCTGCGCATGCTGCTTGTCAACTGGGCTCCTTGCCCGCAGCGCGGGCTCACCCCTTCGCGCAACTTCGGTGTCGACGTCCTCGAGCACGACGCGGCCTCGCGCGTCTACCCGAACCGGCCGCCGGCTAGCCGAGATATGCTTGCGCTGGTGGCTCGGGACTTCGGCGCGGCCTTCCCGAGCCTCCCCCAGGACTTCGCGCGCGTGGTGTTCGCGTGGATGGGCGCGCCCTTCGTTTTCGTTTCCGTATTGGGTCAGCTGTACCTCATCCTGGAAGTCGTCGCCATGCTCAAGGGATTCCCCTCGCATGCCTGGTGGGTCTCTTCTAGCATTGTTCAGGGCTGCTCTCTCAGTGGGTCCACTTTTGCTGCTGTCACGGCGCGCTTCCCCTTCGACCTGCAGAGCCGCCTGGAGGCGCCCCGTCTTGGCCTTGCGAGGGCTTGCGCCGGCGACATTGGCTGCGTCGTTCGCTCCCTCCGCTCCCTCGGCATTCTTGCGGATGTCATGCAGATGGCGGCTTCTGTTGCGACGTTCTCCTTCAAGTTCGGCAAATGGAAGCTCGTTCCCCTCTGCGCCGGGTTCTCGCCACAAGTTGTCAATTCCGTCTAGGACTCCCTCGCGGTCTCGGCCCCGTTTTTCCCTTCCATCCAGGTGGTCAGCACCCTGGTCTACCTCGGCCTCGTTCTCGGCCCTGCGGCGGACGGCGGCCCACGCTGGCGCGCGCCCTGCTCGAAGGTCAAGCTGCGCTCCCAGTGGGTTGGAAGCGGCGCGCTCGCTGCTTCGCGGCAGGCTAACAGCTGCGCCATGAGGATCACCCCAGTGCCGCATGATGCCGCGATGGCTTCTACGTGAAGAACTCGTCGCCTTCTCGCGCTCTTCCAGGCCCCCTCATCGGCGCCTTCGAATTTAACTGCCTGGCTTCACTCACGTGCTACGGGCGCCCCATCGATTCCGTCCTGGCTTGCTCTCAGCGCGGGGGGCTCTGGTCCGCATTGCCCGTCGAGGACTGCCAGAGTATGCGCGCATTCGGGATTGGCTTCTTCTGCGACGCGATCGGCTTGGCGCCCTGCGATCAATTCGCCAGGCGGCGTCGACCTCGCCCTACCCGTCGTTCTGGAAATCCGAAGCCTTTGTCGAGACGCTCCACAGGGCCTCTATCGCAGCCGCATCCGCGCGCTTCTCTGAGCACTAGAAGGACATTCTCAGCGCGGCCGTCGCAGCTGCGCGCAAGAACCTGCCGCTGGGCGGGGTCTTCAGCGATCGGTCTCGGCTGCGGCTCGCCTTCAGCTTTTACCCCGCCCGCTGTGGGGCTGCTTTGCCGCGCGCCCAGCGGCCGCGTCGCCTTCTTTGATAGAGGACGGCCGCTCTATTGTGCGGCGTCGGCGTCGGGGCCACATCGTCGCCTACCTGTGCGGATGCTCTATGGCGCAGGCCTTCGCCTACCTCGAGGCGGTCGCGAACGGGTGGGCGACATCCCATCGCATTATTCAATCTCATTGTCGTTTGGCATGCCGTCTGGGATGCAGCGGGTCCTCCGACGAGCTCAAGCACTGCGTTGCCCGGCCCCGTTCCGCCAGATTGTCGAGCAGGAGCGCGGCTACACCAGGCTGCGTTCACCCCTCGGGCGTCTCGGTCTATATGGCAGCGCCGTCGAGGTAGATCTCGTCGTCATTGACACCCTTGCCATTTACTACGCCTACTTGTCCGCGGCCCGCGCGGCTCCAGCCACCCCATGGTTTGCCTCGTTTGTCAGCCACCCGCGGTCCGCCCTTGCTTGTCCGCGCCCCCGCGGTCCGCCCATGCTCGCCACCCCCGACGCGTCCCGGGCGAAGCAGGAGGCTGCCCGACTGCTCAGATCATGCAAAACCATTGGTCCAGCTGCCCGCCAACACCCACCTCGGCGACCGCTCCGCCCTTCTCCTTCCCCCAAATAGTGGCAAGGACACGCGTGGCGCCTCGTTGGCCAGGTCGACTCTAAGTGGGGATTATCCTGTCCGTCGCCCAGCCCCCCCGGGGCTCCCGTCTGCGCGCATTTCTACGTCGCGCAGTTCCCACGGCGGGGGGGGCACCCTCGATTCCCAGTTTCCAACGCGCTGAGCGGCGGCGGCGAGAACTCACCGACAGGGCCACGCAGTGGGCCAACGCTTGGTTCCCCCCAGTCTACTACGGGCGCCCGGACGACGACTTCCAGGCGCGGCTCAACTGGGGCGTGGACTGCGTGCACGGGCTCTTGCACTACGACGGCTTTTGCCCCCTCGGGCTCGCTGCTCGCGACGCCGCCCCGCGCCTCCGTCAAGTTGCCGAAGAGATATGCTTCGCTGCTTTGGCATGCGAGCGCGATCCCTCGGGGGCGTCTTCGGAGGCAGCTACGCGCTACTCCCCCGCACTCCGCCTCAGCTCGACGCGCCGCGCGGCTTCGTTCTCTCGTTCGTTTCAGGATGCTGGAGTGGCGCCCCGACCCTGCGAGGATCCCGTTCGTCAGCTCGCTGGCACTTGGAGGCGCATCGCTTCGCCGCGCGCAGCCCTTGCTCTTGACCCCGGTGGCCGCGCCCACCTTGGCGCGAGAGAATCTGCGGTCGACGACCCGCTGGCTCCTCCGCTTCGCTCGCTGAGCTCCGCGCAGTCGTCTTCTCCGTTCGATGGCCCATCTCCTGACGAAGAACCTGCTGCGCCGCTTCGCCCCGACGGCTACCTGCCCCCCACCGACCGGGACATTGAGGCGATGGGCGCCGCCGAGAACAGTGGCATGGACTCGCCCGAGCCCTAAGGGGTCGATGCGATGGCGGACGGTGGATTCCTCGGCCATTTCGGCCTGAGGCCGCGCCTTCCCCGTCGCGGTGCAGCGCGCTCCTCGGGCGGAGATCGCAGGGCGACTCACTCGTCGCCTTCGGCGAGCCCTTCCGACCCACCACCTCCAGATGCGGACGCGGATGTTCTGCGCTGGCTTTCGGGGCCGCGCCCTGCTCTGCCCAGGCCGCCCGCGCCCCTTTTTCCTGAGCGGCTCGCCGACGCTGCCTCGCTGGCGCCTGGAGGTGGCATGGCATCCCCGTCTTCTACGAGCTCCTCTGGCAGCGTGACTCCAGCCCCTGCTGATGACTTCGCTGGTCCTCGACCTCTTGCTGGCCTTCCTGGGTGCTCTGCGCTTCGCGGCCCTCTATGTCCAGTGGAAGCCCCCGCGCGAGGGAACGCCGCGGGCTCACGGTCGCCTGGCTCTTCTGGATTAGCCCCTGAGGAACCCCCCAGGGAGGGGGGCTCCTCAGGGGCCCGGGGACTTTCTGCTGGACGTCGGCCTCCTGAGGTGCTTCATGGGCCTGGGCCTGGAGAGATCGCAGCAGGCCTCGCGGCGGCTTCGTGCGCTGAGGCGCCTGGCCATTCTGACCTGGCAGTGGACTGGCCCACATTTGACGACATCTTCTCGGACGACGGGGCAGTCGAGCGCACCCTCGCGGACATCTGCGACGAGCCCGCCGATGACGAGATGCTGCTCGACGACTTCCCGCTGGATGGCAGCGGCCCCGGGTACGTCGCGGCGCTCTTCGGCGAGTCGGAGGGCGAGGGCTCCTTCGATGAGGAGACGGGCTCCATCTTCATGGGCCTGGCCGCTGTCTCGTCCGACTCTGGCGCCCCGGGTAGGGGCGGCGCGCCCTTCCCCAGGGGGGGGGGTCCATCCATGGGGCATCCAGGGGGGGGAGGAGGAGGAGGAGGAGGAGGAGGAGGAGGAGGAGGAGGAGGAGGAGGAGGAGGAGGAGGAGGAGGAGGAGGAGGAGGAGGAGGAGGAGGAGGAGGAGGAGGAGGAGGAGGAGGAGGAGGAGGAGGAGGAGGAGGAGGAGGAGGAGGAGGAGGAGGCCGATGCTGGACTACGACGCCGTCGCCTCCGCGAGCGGCGGCTTCCCCGCTGCGAGCGGCCCCGCGGTGGGCGCGAGCGGCCCCTGGGGATGCTGGATCCTTCGCCACGGGGACGCTCGCTCCTCCTCCTCTTCGTCCGCCTCCTCCTCTTCCCCGGCCTCTTCCATCCTTTTCCTCCCTCCTCCCTCAGGGCCCAAGAGGTTGCCACGAGGGCTCAACAGAGTTTCCTGAGGCACCGAGACCGTTCACGGCGACAGGCACATCGAAAAGCGACCGAACCGACGTCAACGACGAAACCACCGTCCGCAAACAATGACACCGAACGTGATCGACATCGACGAGCCGAGAGCAGCCTAGAGGGGCGCAGCGGCGACAACGACACGTTAACCGACCGCGCCGGACCGACCGAACACTACCGAATGCGACGCAAGCGAGCCGACCGAACCGTGAACGCGAGGCTTCCACGAGGGCCTCAACGAGGCTTTCACGAGGGTTCCCACGAATCTCCCATGATGGCTCCTTCGAGGGCTCCGACGAGGCTCCCACAAAGGGCTTCCACGAAGGACCCGACCTTGCCCACGAGGCTCCCACGATGGCCCCATAGAGCCCCAGGAGGGCCCACGAGGTCCAACAGAACCCCCCATCAGAGGTGGTCCCTATTCTTCTCCGCGCAGGTTCTTCGCACTGCAGAGGCAGGAAGAGCGGCAACACGAGGAGGGACATGAGGAGAACGATGGGCATGAGGAGGTAAACGTAAAGGCAAAGGCCGTTGGGGGTCTGAACGTCAGCCAGTCCACTTGCTGACCCCTTGGGCGGGGATATGGATGCTCCCCCCTGAACCGCACCGTGGCCAGCCAAAGGGAATGCCTGGGGCGGGCTCCCCACGCTGCTGCAGTTGCGCTTCGGGCAGCGTCGGGGAGCTGCCCCGCTGCAGGGGCCCCATGCACGTGGGCCGGGTGGGACATGAGCAGGAGCCCGTGGCTGCCACTGAGGCGGGCGGCCGGCTCTGGGGGCTTCCTCTCCCCCCCCCCCTCCCCCGCCCCTCCCCCTGCGAGAAGGGAAGCAAAGAAGCGGCCTTGAAGTTGTGGTTCATGCCCGCCCCCGCAGTCTCTCTCTCTCTCTCTTTCTCTCTCTCGCTTTCGCAGCTGCTCTACATGGATATGCCGCACCGCGCTGGTCGCGGCTGGGAATGCTGGAGGAAAAGATGCGGACCTTATTGGACTGGGGGCAGGCGGTGACTCACTACTCTGGCGCTCTCACTCTAGGCATCCGAGCCCCCAGCCAGCTTCGGCCGCTGTCGCTGGGTCCGTGAGCCTGGCGTCGCCGCTCACTCGATGGGCGGTGGGAGCCTCCATCAGCACGTACTCGTTCGTCCACCCTTGCACTGGGGCCGACGGCTTGTTGCGCTCTGCGCGATGCTGGTGGGTGCCTGCTCCTGCAGGCGGCTGCTGCACGGGCTGCTGCTCCTCGTCCACCGTGTCGTACCCGAAACCGTGCTTGCTCTTCGACCACTGTGTGTAGGACCCTTCGAGCTCGTCGTTCTGCTTGCGGATGTCGTCGGCCCCCCACGGGAACGTGCCCAGGATGAAGCGCAACGAGTCCGCGGCACATCCCTACAACCCGGTGGCTACCTTGATCTTGTGCTTGATATTCGTCAGTTGGTGGCCGATGACCTCGATGCCCTGCACGCGCTCCATCTTCGTGTACACATTCTCACTGCGCGAGCACTTCGGGCGTCCTAGACCCTAGACTATTGGCGAGCCGCTCCTGCTGGCGTTGGAGTGCGGCCAGGGTGAGTAGGGCGGGCTCCTGGCACTGCTTGAGGATCACGTTGGTGGCTTGCATGCTGGCGTGCGCCGTGTTGAAGCGGTACTCCATGCTGCCGATGATTTGCTCGCTTCGGCCTCCTCGGAGGTGCGGGCGCTGGATGAGCACCTGCTGCGTAGGATCTCCGCCTTCTCCGCTGACGCTGGGACTTGCCCAGCACGGCGGGCGACCTCCCACCGCGTTGTTGTCCATCGCTGGTGGGGGGTTCTTCTCGCCACTGTCGTGAAGCTGCTCTGAGTTGGAGGTTGGAGCCGAAAAAGCTACGTACGGGACCGTAGTGGTGATCATTGGTAAGTTGGTCGTGCCATTAGTGTCCTTCGTTGGCCCAGTCTTAGCTATAGTGGTTACCTTAGCTTGTCTGTCCACCGTTGTGAGACACACGCACAATGTAGACTCCACTTGTAGCTGATAGTCACCACTGATGGTCGGTTCGTCGTGCACGATATCATCGCACCGTCCTTTGTTTCCGTCGACTCAGATCATGCTGTGGTTCCCGTGGGCCTCAAGTGGCAGGTAGTGTCTGCTAGAGCCTCTTGCCTCGTCGCAGAGGGAGGGGAGGGAGGGAGGGTGTGAGGTTGCTCCCGTACATATTTTGGGGAGGGGAGTTATGTGTATGTTCCCCCCCAGTTGATTACTGCACCACCGTGTAGTAGTCCCTGGTACGCAGGTCCCTGTAGTAGTTAGCAATGCGTCCTAGGTTACCCATGAATCCACCGTGTTGCTGTGCGTTGTTCTTTAGGTCCTGGGCTCGTGCTGGGGCTTGACCGATTGTCGTTGCTCTGTTTTCCTCTCTCGTCTCTGGCGGCACTGCGGTTGGCCAGCGAGCGGGGCTGACGCTGTTGGACATCGCGGGGCCTGCAGCAGTTGAGGGCTCTGGCGGGCTGCGACGTTGGGCTGGGGGCTCTGGCGCCTCCGTTGAGCCTGGGCTCAACGCTTCTTGTTGAGCTGGCGCTCGACGGTTCTCTCTAGCCCCGTCTTCGGGCCCCCTGGGACGCTCTTGGTCCCACCTTGGTGCCTGGGCATCGCTCGGACGTCCATTCCCTGTGTTTTCTTAGGTTTCGTGCGTGGTTTTTTCGCCAAATGATTGAGGATGCTCTTCGATGGTCCTCGCCGCAGGAAAAATGCACACGTCCGAGCGATGCCAAGAGTGCGCGATGGCTGCGTTGATCGCCTGCCTGATCATCACCGCCTGGAGCCCTAGCAGCGCCTGGAGCTGGCCCTCCTCCACCTTGTCCCTGTGGACCGCCGCCCTGCAGCACGGGCTCGTGCTGATCACGAACGATGCCTTCGCCAGGCGGTCGCTGTCGTACATCGCGTCCTCGCTCTGGTAGGATGGCTGCACATTGAGCTGCTCGAAGATCTCCGTCATCACCTTCATCCCCCACGCGCCGCCTACCGTCGTCGTGAACTCTTTGAGCGTGGCGAGGACTGGCTACATGTGCTCTTGTTGGGGCTGCGGCTTCGTTGTTCAGCAACCCGATCGGCCCTTACACGAAGCTGGCGGCTACATGTCCGTGCGGTGGCCCCAATTTGTGACCCTAGCTTTGCTCCTTGGCCCTGCGCCCGTACTCGCGCCCCGTTGCGAGGCTGGACTGGGCGGCGTCGCTGCTGAGGCCGATCAGCCAGAAGTCGCCGACGTTGTTGTTCAAGTCCCTGATCGCCGCGCTGCTCTGAAGGGCGAGCTTCTGTGGGGCTTTCATATCGTCGCGGTGCTCTTCCGTCATCACTCCGCCTCCGCCTCCTCCTCCACCAGGGGGTGTCCCGCTGTTGCTGCCCTTGCCCTGCCCCGAGTTCGCCGCCTTGGTGCCTCTCGCTGCTGCTCCCCGGCCGGGCCCCCCCTGCTCCACGCTTGCCCTCGATCCGCCAGATCATGCCTTGGTCGCCCATGGCGAGAGGGGTGGGTACTGTGTGCTGCTTCGCCTCTGGGCTCGCGGATCTGATCTGGGCCTGCAAGGTGTCCCCTGACGTGCTGCTGAAATTCCGCAGGTGGTTGAGCCTCATGGTTACGGATTCGAGTGAGCTGGGTGCTTGGACCTCGCGTGACCATCGAGAGCGACCTTTATGACAGATGCCGTGCTGATGGACTGCTCTCGTGCAGTGGTCTATCGCCGCCCGTCGGTTGGCGACCGTATTGTAATACCACGGGCACTGGTTGGTTACGATTGCGGACGCCACCAATGGTCGCAGGTTGTGCGTCCTTCGGCGATGCCCAGCTATCGCAGCATAAGTGGGGAACCGTCATCCACAGACCGTATCTCGTCTCTGCTCGTCCCTCGTCACATGATCGCACCAGTACGGTTTGAGTGGTTCCTCCTCTTCCCCCTCCGCCGTGCTCCTCCTCTCTCCTTGTCAGGACATTCCAATTTCGCTCGTGACTGCAGAGTACCCGCTGGTCCGTTTGGGGCCGTTTGGAGAGCTCGGGGGTGCCCTGCTGCAAGCTCGCCACGTCCGAGGTCCTTGTCTCGAACCAACCATGCTCTCGTCAATCGCCGCGAGTGCGTTGAGGTCCTCTAGGTACTGCTTAGCCCATGGGGTAGAGCTGGTGTCGATCCATTTATCGTCCCTGAGTCGTCGTAATCCCTGGCTGGCGTCGAGCTTAGATGTACCGAGTACAGCTGTTACTACCGATCCGTGATCTCGTGGGTATCGCGCCCAGCTCTGATACCACCTAAGCCGTCTGACTCTAAGGGCGACCGACGCCCGTTCCAACCTCCAATATCGGAAAACATGGGCGTTCGTGTTACATTACACCGTGCCGTCTTCTCTCCTTTCCATGACATAGCCCCCCCCCCGCCATCGCCCTTAGATACTTCGCAAGCAAGCTACCCAGAGCGTCTGTGTGGGAGCGCGTAAGTGTGAAGGGGGTCAGTCCGTTGAGCGCTGCTCCTAGTACGAATGCCATAAACATCAGCCGTTTGATCTGTCGTGGAGTATCTGGGGTCCAGAAGATGCCGCATTGTCCCCACGCAACGCGTACGGCTGCTAGATTGCGGCGTACTTCGTTTGCAAGCCCATGACTTGCGGGCAGGTGTGGTCCTAGTACCCGCATTTCTCTCAGCGCCGATCCTTGTGTTCCGTTTCGGCGTAGGTGCTTGGTTGTTGTGTAATTTCTTGGTCCCACCAGGTGTACTAAGTGGTTGTTTTTTTCGTTGTTTTTTGCCCCAGCCACCTTTTCTGATAGTATTGACTAGCCGTGCAGTGGTGGTGTTCAGCTCTGGTTCGGCTCCTGTGTGGTGCAGACCCGCTGTGAACTTTCGTGCCCTGGTAGTGTCGTCCATAACTGTGTTGATCGCTAGGTCGTACGTGGCCCCATCGGTGGGGTTGGTTGTGTCGTGTAATTGTTGGTTCGGGTCGTTGCGCCCTTCTTCCCACCATTGGGCGACGCGAATGTTGTATGCATCGTTGAATTGCCGTGGGCAGAGGGTGAAGCCCGTGTGGGCCCCTGTGGTACTCTCAACCTCAATTAGACCGCCAGATGCTGCGAGGCTTAGGGTAGAGTATCATATGGCTGCGACTGCAAAGTGCGCGTCGTTGTAATGTGCGCGTTTGCAAGCAATCGCTCGTAGGAGCGCTCGATTGGTGGCTGCGAATGCGTTGGTACCGTCGTAGTTGGTCGTGACTGTGCTGATACCTCCCTTGTTGGCCCTCCACTGCGCTGCACAAACACAGATGATGGCATTTTCCTTGCGTCTGTGTGAGAGTCCCCGCCGTGCCCAGGGCAGGGGGGAGGTGTAGATGCTTCTCCTCTTCTTGGTATACCCAAGTGCCACGCCATATTGAAAGAGTCGTACACATGCAGTATACGCTTGCCAAGCATCCCTTCTTTGCGTTTGTTTCCCCCGCTGGGCAAGCCTGGGGTCTGTGCCAGTCCAGTGGTACTACTTGCGTCATTCTGCACTGCTCGAGAAAACGATCCAGCATAGGTTGGTACGCACATTCGTGCACAGACATCTTCGGCACCCCTATCCGTGCATGCTCACCCTTGCCCACACCGTAGGATCGTGCTGCCCACAGCTGCAGTTGCCGCTCTGCATCGTACTCTCCTCCTCTCCTGTTGCTGCCCAGCGCCGTGCCCCCCCTGCCACCCCATCTCCCCCGCCGAAACCGTCCCAGTCTGGTGTAGCGTGCCAGGTCATCGTC